AGGGTCGCCGTCTCTACTCAGGTAGGCTCGCGGGGGGGGGGGGGGGGGTGGGCTCGGGATTCCTGCTGCGGCCGCCAGAACCTCTGGGTCTGTCTCTAGCCGGCTGTCCCGTGTGTCCCCGCGGGGCGGCAGTGTGACGGTGGAAGGCACCTGGTCTCGCAGCTCTGGGCGTTCTGTGACTGGGTCACCGTGACCGGGTCGTGTCGGAGCGCGGGCGCAGGCACACGTGTGCGCACGTGGTTTGCAGGGGCAGACCTGCTTCCCGTCTCTGCACTGAGACCTTCCTGTGTTTCCGTCAAGGGAAGGTGTCCTGCCTGTAGTGTGCAAGCGTTACGGTCTTACCTCACACTGTCTCTAAAATAGGAAGTCCACCTCTCATCAAATTCTTGCTATTCTCTTACATTTATGTTAAATATACCATCGTAAACAGCATGTTTAATTCTGTAAAGATTGGTGATCAATCGCCATCCGGATCCTGACACGTGGTTTCTCTCTCTTCCAGTGATTCTAGTTTATTGTGCCGAGTACATCAATGAAGTAGCGGCAATGAACTGGAGGTAGGCCGACGCCCTGTGCATGTTGACCGTACTGGGGAGTGGCACTCTAGAGTGGTCTGTGCAGTGGGAGCATTGCACGCCGACCACAAGACTCCGGGAGCCGCAAGAGAAAACAAGTCGCTGAAGGCCCCGGGGGCCCAAGTGCTTCTGCTCTGACAGGTTTAGGTCAGAGGAACGGCTTATCAGACAGCTTAGGATTTGAAGATTGGTTGATACAGTTCATGACAGCGGGCAACAGTTCAAGGGGCTGTTTGAGGTAGCTCTATTTGCAGAGTAGAGAAAGTGGCATTTTAGAGAGAATTCGGTCCATGCCTGGTCAGGGCGGTGGGTGATGTGCTCTGAGACCTCTCTGCCCTCCCTGGACCTGCCGTGTCCTCTCGAGGCCTCGGATGTCCTCCTGGCATAAACCCCCGGCCGCCCTCCAGTGATCGCAGCTCCAGCCCCTTGCCTGTGGCCTCCCTGGAGCCCCACCTCCTCCCTCTCCACCACGGCTCCTGCCAGCCTCTGTTCCCCGGGGTGTGGAGACCCGCGGGGCATCACCAGCCGTCACTGCCCTCTGCTTGTCCTCTGCCCCCGTTTCCAGCTCTCACATCCTGCCTGAGTGTCAGGCCCTGTGTCTGGGTGCAGCTCAGCACCGGCACCCACACGTGTGAGCGAGACACAGCTGTGCAAACCGAGGGGCTTCATCTGGGACCCTCACACGTGTGTCTAGATGTGGCTTTCAAACAACGGTCCACAGGCCCTATCTGGCCTGCTGGTTTTACGTGGCCTGTGAGCTAAAAATGGTCTTGATATTTCTAAGTGCTAAAACATTTACATTTCTTCAATGTGAAAGAAAAAAAAGAAAAACTACTAGACTCTCAGCAAAAAGGGGTTGAAGACCTTGCCTCTTGGCCCGGGAAGCATGAATGTGTGCCATTTGGCGCTCTCCAGGAGGTTGCGGAAAGCCACCCTAGGTGACCGTGCACGTTCCATCCCACCTGCGTTACACCTGCTGTCTCTCCAGCCCCCACACGTCCTTGCTCGTCGGGTCCTGAGGACCTGGAAGAAGCCTGTGCCTTCAGGGAATGGCTGTGGCCCCAGCACCTGCTCCTGGCTGCCCTCTGAACCCATCTCCTCAGACAGACGTACTGAGAAAATCCCCACTTTTCAATGTAAAACAGGGTCCCTTGGGCCTCCCCCGTCTGGACCCTTCACGATGAGACTTGGAAGATGGTCACTGTCCCCTTGGGCCCGCTCCCCACCTTGTAGCGGAAACGCTGTTGTTCATGACAGGGTGGGGCGCGTGGGGCCTGGCCCACCGCCAGTCCGCGGGTTACTTGACCTCAGCCTCCCTCCCCCTGAACCACCTGCTGGCGGGTTTCCAGGACACCAGGCTGCCAGTCTCCTCTCTCAGGACGTCCCTCCTTCCGCTCTCTGCCTTCCTCCTGTGCAAGGGCAGCTGCCCCAGCCGCCGGAGGTCTGATGACCATCAGGAGAGCAGCGCTTCACACTCGGCCCCCATCCAGAGCTGACCCCAGGCACGGTGCTCCACTCTGTACTGGCGTTTCTCCTGCCGGTGACTTTGGCCAGAGACCTCACTCGCCACGCAGATTCCTTCCGAGGTCCTTGACCTTGGAAACAAACCACGAGCGCGGCTCTGTCCCTCCCCTTCGGTGCCCGCCCCCATGCCTCCCGAGCGGTGGCCTGCTTCCCCAGGCGCCAGCCCCTCCTCGACCTAGGCCTCGGCACAGCCACGGCAGCCACGGCCACGGACTGGCCACGGCTGGGCCCTGGTGGCTCCCCCGGGTCCCTGCTGGAGTGTCGGGAGCCTTCCTGCAGCCCATGTGCAACTCCATGCTCCTTGGCTTCATTTTTCCGGAACATCAGTCACACAAGTGCGTTTTGAGTGTCGTCTTATCTGAACCGTGTCCCCTATAGTGTAAGCTCTAAGCTCTGCCTCCCCTGTTCTCAGCCGTGACGCCAGGGCTGCTGGCCGGCTCCTCCGTGACTCACTGAGCTAACGGGTTGTTAGGTGCTTTATAAACGGTCGTCCTGCATGTCACTGGTGGCCGCAGACGAGCCCCAGGATACAACCAGCCTCTGCCTAGGGGCAGCTTGAGGGACTCAGCCTGCTGGTGAGAGTTCGAGCAGAGAGCCGGCTGGCACCGTCTCGGAGTAGCTCTGGAGCGTGTGCAGCCCGTGACGCCTTCTGGCCCACGGAAGGCACAGCACGTCCCAGGTGACGTCAAACTCGCCGTTAACCAGAGCGCACAAGCGTTTACTTTGCCCGGCAAATCCGAGGGTTGATTGCTGTTGCCCCCACTGTCCTCTTCCCCAGGCCCCGGGGCTCCTGCCTTCTTCGCCGCGGGCCCGCTGCACGTTCCCTGATGGGGCCCAGTAGGAGTGAGCTGGGAAGGGCTGAGGGTGGGTTCGGTTGTGGGGCAGGCGGTGGAGCCTTAGTCGACGTAAGAGGCTCTCCAGGAGCTTTACGTCAGGGAATATCGCTAAGGACGTTTTTCCGTTATACCAAGTAACTTTTAATTTCTTCCTGAAACAGGTCATTTTCAAAATACCAGTATTTCGATTCACGGGGGATGTTCATTTCTCTAGTGTTTTCAGCACCGCTGCTGCTCAATGCCATGATCATTGTGGTATGTGTGTTACAGCTTTCTGAGTTCTAGTGTTGTTGACGGATGTGTGTTTTCCAATTCTAAACGTGTCTCAAAATCATTGTTTTTAGATTATGTGGGTCCGAAAGACTTTGAATGTAATGACTGACCTGAAAACGTTACAGGAGAAGAGAAGAGGAAGGAAGGGAAAAGAAGACTAACACTGGAACAGTTGCGTTGGTTTCCTTATGGACGTTGTTCTCCTCTGTTGTCGTGTCAAGGGTTAAAGTGCGCATCGGAGGCGTCCTCACTCGGCCACTCACGTTTGTGCAGAGGGTTCTTTTATCGTGACATCCGTGTTGTAGGACACACTTTAAAACTGGTTTTTAAAATAAACACTAGTCTCCTGTTCCATCTGGGTGTTGGTTAGCCCTGGATCGACCCAGGATGTCGGCGTCTTCCTGTTAAAGTGTGTAAATCAGTAGTGTCTGTGCATAGTTCGCCGAGTTGTCACCTGTACGATTAGTATTCATTGTAAAGCATTGAAGCAACGTACACACTTTGAAGCAAATGATAAACGGTGCTGTCCGTGCAACGGCACCATCACCCCCTGCATGCGCTGCTTCCCGGGCTGCGGCCCAGCTGGTTCTCCGCGGAGGGGATGTGGCCAAGCTGGTGACATTCTGGGTTGTCACTGGAGGGCTGGAGCCCAGGGTGGTCCCGAGCTAGGGATGATCTGACCCGGCACGTTAGCAGTGCCAGGATTGAGAAGCCCTGGGCTGGAGCAGTCTGTATGTGAGACCCTGGGAGCAAGGTCCTGAAAAGAGTCAGGCTTGTGAACGCAGGCAGCCAAGGCCCAGGAGGCGAGGCTTCTGTGAAGGGCACACGGTTGGCCCCGGGGCAGAGGAAGTTCGGGGCTGCTTTGTGTTCTCACAGGAGTTCTAGGAGTTAACGGTACAAAGGCCTTCAAGTCAGGGCTCCATGGAAAGGTTTTCAGGATGCGGGATTAGAAGTAGAAATATTCAGTGACTGTTTAGCTGTTCCAGCTAATAGGTTTTTACAATGATGACAAGATTATAGTCCTTCCTAAATTTCACTTAAAAAAAATTTTTTTTAACGTTTATTTATTTTTGAGACCGAGAGAGACAGAGCATGAACGGGGGAGGGTCAGAGAGAGGGAGACACAGAATCTGAAACAGGCTCCAGGCTCTGAGCTGTCAGCACAGAGCCCGACGCGGGGCTTGAACTCACGGACCGCGAGATCATGACCTGAGCCGAAGTCAGCGGCTTAACCGACTGAGCCACCCAGGCGCCCCCTAAATTTCACTTTTTAAAAGTGTGGGTGCTCAGGAATGTGCTAGCACTTGTGTTAGAACAGGTGCACCATTACCTCTTAGCATCTCCTTTGCAGACTGTCGCTCAGGCCTCTTGGTCCTTCCGTAGCTGGAGGGCGACAGGTGAGTAGAGATCCAGGTTTTTAAAAGTGCAGGGTCCAGTATAGGAAATGCTGTTGGCTCTTGATTTGGGTATGAAAAAAATTGTGAATAGTTGTCTTAATTTTAACAAGGTTTTTCCCTCTAAACGAAACATATTCTTTAAATTAAAAAAAAAAGTCTGACATTTATATTTAGCAGCTTAAAAGGTGACACTCTGATAGTTTTTATTTTAATTAAAAAATTTTTTTAACGTTTATTTATTTTTGAGAGACAGAGCACAAGTTGGGGAGGGGCAGAGAGAGAGAGAGAGAGAGAGAGAGAGAGAGAGAGAGACACTGAATCTGAAGCAGGCTCCAGGCTCCGAGCTGTCAGCACAGAGCTGGATGCAGGGCTTGAACCCATGAACCTAAGTAAGATCATGACCTGAGCTGAAGTCGGATGCTCAACTGACTGAGCCAGCCAGGCACCCCACACTTTGATAGATTTTTAAATTAAATCTTGAAATTGAAATATAGAACGTTTTCCTGGACAATTGTGAACTCTTGGTAGAGAAACAATTTCCTTATTTCTGACAGTTTTAGAAGGGAGTTGATAGGATCTTCTAGACAGAGCCAGTGAAGTTTCTACTATGACATGTTTTCCGGTTCCTTCCTGGTATGTTCTCTTTTGTATTGAACGTAAAAAGTGGTTTCAAAGTAGCATCCGTGTTCCGTCATTTCAAGTCCATTGCACTTGCAGCCTGTGAGTGGGATGCTCCCCATCAGGTGTTGAGTGGTGTCGTGGTCCTGGGACAGCTCAGGCGTCACAGCCCCGGCCCCAGCCCTGGTCCCCAGGAGTAGCCGTGTGAGCTCATGCAAGGCAGAAGGGATGTGCAGGCTGAGCTTGTGCGGGCCCGTAGAGGGAAGGGGACACAGCCAGACGTCTGGCCTCACGTGACTGATGTAAGGAGGCCGCACTGCGTTTCCACTCCCTGCAATTATTTGGACTGTGCTGTGGGACCGTCTGGATGTCATAGTGCAGTATCGTGAACATGGTCTGAATTTGATTTTAATGATGTATATCAGTGTGAAAACATGACACGGGGCCTTGTCTTTGTACATTTGTGTGTGCATATGTAATTTCAGGGGGGGTGGTTATATTTTATTTTCACAAACACAAACCTTTTTTAACTGGTAAGTTCATATTCTGTGCCTTAAAATGCAATTGTTAAAAAGTGTTTTAATTCTCATTGTCATGGGAAGGAAGGTCCTACACGCCAAACTGCCCGCTCCATCCAGAGGACATCGTCCCCTCTGTTTAAGTGAAGCAGACGTTTTACGTGTATATTTGTAGACGAAGAGGGGGAAAAAGAGATTCATGATAAAAATATATTTTGCGTATTCCAAATCTGTGACACCTTCAGTGTCTTTGTTGACACCGATCGTATGATTGACTTGATCGACTATATATTTAATAACATATAGTATGGTTTTTCCCCCCTGAAATTGTACATTTGCTTTGGCTTTTCTGTGGACGAAGCAGAAACCCTCAGAAGGTTGGCTCTGCTGGTGTGGCCACATGGTCCCTCACTAGGCCCTGAGCTTCACGTACCCAGACATTGACTTTTGTCAGAAAATCAGCGCAGACACAGACACATGCATATCAAATAAGGTGACATATAAACCTGCATTATTTATCGTGACAAAGTGGCAAGGACATGGTGACATAGTCTCACCCTTTACAAGAAATTTAAAGTTAAAAACTTTTAGGGGCACCTGGCTGGCTCAGTGGGTTAAGTGTCTGACTCTTGATTTCAGCTCGGGTCATGATCTCAAGGTTACGCAGCCTTCTTGGGATTCTCTCTCTCTCTCTGTCTCTCTCTCTGCCCCTCCCCTACTTGCTCTGTCTGAATAAATAAATAAAATTTGAATGTCAAAGCACTTAAAAATTTTAATTTGGAATCCTTATTGACTAGGGATGCGGACTGAGGAATATCAGTGGAAATGGGTCCAACACTTACAGACACCAAGCCACCTACCCTACCCCGCCAGGCCGTGCCCCCGGGAAGGCCAGTGAGCCTCGAGCCTCGGGTGCTTGGGTCCCCGCCGCCTCTTGTTGACCTCACGTGTCCTCTGTGCTGTGCATCTCCCTTCCTGGAGCCGAGGATGTCTCACGCTGCATCTGGTGACACTGCCTACGTCGGTGCCCTGTTGGCAGGGGTCACGGCTTACGTTTGTTTCATGTCCTCGGCCTCGCCCCCCGCACCGCCTCCTTCCAGCCTCCAGAGCGGGTTCAGAAACGGTCCGCGGATGGCATTCGGGCCCGCGTTGTACAGTGAGCCCGGGACAGCCGTCCCCAGACAGGGACAGTGACTCGGCCGCCTCCGCCTGCAGCCCGTACAGCAGGCCCACCCTGTGTTGTGTGTCTCCTCTCCTGCCGGGGACCCACGGGGACCGCTGGTCCCTGCGCTCCGGGTCCGGCCTGGTCCCCAGCCGAGTTTATCCATCTCGGGGAGCCTGGGCGTGTCTCCCCGGGCCGAGCCCTGCCCACCGCCGTGAGTCCGCTCTTCCTGAACCTTCCATGCAGGGACTCCAGCTTGCCCTCGTCTGCTTTGCTGTTCTTAAATGACCTCCGGTGTATTTGGAACGGAAGGAGATGGTCAAATGTCAGTTCGCTGCCCCTACAGTTTTCCTTGAGATCAATTTTTTATGAAGTATTTTTTCAATTCCTTTTATCATGATCACATTTCAATATGTATGTCATTTTCAATGACTGCATTGTAACCAAATCACTAGTTCAATCTGCTTAACCAGTTACTGGTACTGGAGGTGCAGAGTTTTTCTGATTGTTTTCCTAACTTAAGCAATACAAGTTTCTACGACTTCCGAGGCGTACTTTTACATGTTAGTTATTGATGTGGGGTAAAGCCTGCAAGTGAAATTAGGTCAAAATATAAACGTTTTATTGCAATTGATAAATATTGCTAAGCCAGTCTTCAGGAAGCATAAACCAGCATCGTTTGCACGTGTTTCCTTGACCCTGTTTCCTCTAGCTGGCAACATTAAAAGAATACTCTTCTGGTGAATAAACACAAATTTATCTCATTGTTCTAATGTGCATTTCCTTGGTTACCAGAGAGGCTAACATTTTGCAAATGCTAATTGACATTTTGCACTTTGGCGGACTAATCTATTCATACTACGATATTGCCTCTTAAAAATTGTTTCTAATTTCATATATTTATTAACATTAACATTATTAAAACATTTAACATATTTAACATAATTAACATTATTGATTATTAAAATTAATAACATGTAAGGCAAAATGTCTTTCCGGTTTGAAGTTTGATTTTTGCCTTTGTTGTAAGAGTTTAGAACTGTGAGAAATTCTTGTGTTTTCTGTGTTGACTGGCGCAGCTGCGAAGGGCTGGGACTTCACCCTCACTGCAAGCCAACAAGGCCGCCACTCATCCTGGAAGGAGCGTGACGACAAATAAGGAAGTTGGTGCAAAGCAGTTACTTTCAGTTTTATTTATTTATTTTGCATAGATTTTGGCTAATGCCAAATATTTTGGGGGTTTGTTTCACTTACTTACACAAACTTGTATTACCCGTGAAGTCACGAAGACCAGCCCTCCACTCTTGACGCTCTGGTCTGGAAGTGCTTACTCACGTCGGAAGGATTAAACCAAAGTAGTCAGTCCGATTCATGTTAAGTCAATGTTTTGTGAGATTATGTGCATTTAATAGTAAAAGTGGCAATTAAGGAAATAGTGAATTCAGACTATTTATATTTTGACATGTAAAAGTTTAGCCAAGAATCCCTGAAAACATACTTGGGGTATAAAATTATAAAGATGTACGTTTTTTTTTTTTTATTTTTTTAAATTTTTTTTTTCAACGTTTTTTATTTATTTTTGGGACAGAGAGACAGAGCATGAACGGGGGAGGGGCAGAGAGAGAGGGAGACACAGAATCGGAAACAGGCTCCAGGCTCCGAGCCGTCAGCCCAGAGCCCGACGCGGGGCTCGAACTCACGGACCGCGAGATCGTGACCTGGCTGAAGTCGGACGCTTAACCGACTGCGCCACCCAGGCGCCCCAAGATGTACATTTTTGAAATATATTTAGTGGATGCTTGTGGGATTTGTCTTTTTTTTTTTTTTTTTTTTCCAGTATAGTGTTTGCCTGAATCCCCCTGAATCCCTGCTTCACTTGCTTCTGTGGCTGGTCAACTCTGGCGTGAGGAAGGGGCCACGTGTTCCTCCCGCCGTGGGGTGCCTGTGACAAGCAGCCTTGGAATGTTTACTCCCTGGAGTGTCCACTGAGCAGAATAACGGAGACACGGAGGACGACAGAGGTGGAGAAGACCGATACGGTTGGATTTCATGTTCATGGCGCCCTCACGTTCGCCCTCCGGGAGAGCCTTCCAGAGGCCTTGGGGGTTCTCCACGCCCCATCCTACCGGTGAGGTGACTTCCTGTTGACAGCAAGTTACCTGCACACACAGCTGAGATTCCGGAATAGTCGCTGTGCCTCGGCTGCGGGATGAGCGCCTGGTGGCTGTAAAACTGCTCGTGAAAACGAAGTGGTTTTGAGAATCGTTTGCACGTCTAGCAGTGGACTCTGGGTAAAGACACCTGCGCCGAGTCTTGCCGTGTTAGAAGACTCCTCCCGCATCAGAAAAAGGTTTTAAACACTGCTTCCCATGTTCCCAGAGACTTGCTCACAAGACTATCAAGGACATAAAATAGCATTCTGTGGGAGACAAGGCCTGGAAGGGGAGTGTCTTTGGAGTGGGAGGGGTTGGTTTGACTTCTGACTCTCGGAATTTGCTAGAGAGGAAGTGTCGGCCAAATCACTGAGTTTTTTCTGAATTTGTTTCCCCTTGCGAATAAAATGTGTATTAATGCATGCCGCACTCATTTAATAAGATGACGGCAAGCATCAAAACATATGGCAGGCGTTAAATTTCCCTAAAGCGCATGGACAGTAGTGGCTAGCGGGCTGGCGATAACTTGGTATCGATCTAGTCCTAAGACTCACACCCAGGACGGGACACATCCAAGTGTCAGCTCAGCCCAGGAGCCCAGGGAGAGAAAGACGTGTGTGCAAACAAGTGCACGAGGGACGTGCCCCCCTCAGCAGCCATGTGCTCTGTGCGGCCCGTTTCCTAAGCTGTGAAACAAAAATGTCAAAACGCAGAACCCGTCTCTCCTCAGGTTTGCAAACTTATTCTCAGGCGAGGAAACGTGTATTTTCACTAACGCCGCCAGAGGGCGCCAGGGCAGCAGGCCAAGTGCTCCAGGGATGCGGGGGCCAGGCTGAGGCTTCTCCAAAGGGAACAGACCAAGAACTATGATGCTTTGATTTCCTGTCTTCATTTGAACTAAGCTGACCATGTCCAAATTATGTTGTAAAGTTAATTTTTACTTTGTCAGAAGCAGACTGGATAAAGACACACACACACACACACACACACACAGCAGAGAACAAAAGATGCCCACACCAGTGTGCATGCTTGCCCAGGCCCTGGACTCCATTTGAATTAATAAACACATACTTAATTATAATGCAATCCAATGGAACACTTTTTAAAGATTAAGTTGCAGGAAGAGCACGCCAGGCGGGTGCCGAAATGCTCAGGTGGCTCGTCACTCACGGCCGGCATGTGAGGCACGGAGGTGTGCAGATCGGAGGTCTGGCCCTCACCCTGCAGAGCTCGGTCTCAGGAAGGCATTTCAATGATTAATTTCAGTTGGAAGCTGCAGGGAGCATCTTGGTCACTTGTTTCACATCTGGGCACATCTGGGCCGAGTTCCGCTTGCTGCTCCGGAGACACGGAGGAGAAGCCTGTGGGGAGAACTGGCCTCGTCCTGGACCCCTTCCGGCTCCCTGGACCCTCCTGTGTAGGCTCCCATCTGGGCATCATCACAAACCAAGCAGCATCAGTTCAACACATAAACGATGGGTCCAGCGGGGCCCCAGTCCTAGAGGGCCAGCTGCGGACTTTATCCTGTGCCTGGAGCCCTCAAACGTCGCAGACCTCCCGCCTTAACGTCGGTCTGTTTCCTCTCACAGCTGCTTGCACGTTCACTGCCGGGCTTCACACAAGTGTACGATGGCATGCATCATTATTATATATGTATTAAATACGTATTTTTCCACTGCCCTAAAAATCATCTGTGCTCCTGACTTCCATCTCCCAACTCCCAGCAACAACTGATCTGTTTCCTGTCTATACAGTTTCACCTTTTCCAGATTTTCGTATAGCAGGAACCATCAAGTGCACGGCCTTTTCACGTTGGCTTCCCTCACTCAGTAACATCTGAGATTCCTCCTTGTCTTTTCGTGGCTTGTAGCTCATGTATTTTTAGTGCAGAATGAGATTCCGTTGTCTGGATGGACCACAGTTTATTTATCCGTCACCTACTGAAGGGCATCTTGGTTACTTCCGAGCTTAGCAGTTACAAATAAAGCTGCTGTAAACATCCACGTGCGGGTTTCCATGTGGACGTAAGTTCTCACCTCCTTTGACTGAATTCCAAGGAGTGTGATCGCTGGACCGTCTGGTGTTTAGTTTTGTGAGGAGGCTCCACACTGTCTTCCAGAGGGGCTGCACCGTTCTGCATCGTGACCTGCCGTGAGTGGGCATTCCTGCCCCACGTCCTCGCCAGCACCTGCTGTTGTCGGGGTTCCGGATTGTGGCCGGTCTCACGGGTGTGCAGTGGGACCCCGTGTGGTTTTAACTGGCGTTTCGTGGAAGACGAGTGAGGCATCTGCTGCCTCTGTCTCTTCTCTGGGGAGGTGTGTGTTCAGATCTTTTGTCCATTTTTATTTATTTTTTAAAAATTTTTCTTAAGTTTATTTATTTTGAGAGAGAAAGAGTGAGCAGGGGAGGGGCAGAGAAATAGGGAAAGAGAGAATCCCAAGCGGGCTCCACCCTGTCAGAGTGGAGCCCAATGTGGGGCTTGAACCCATGAACCGTGAGATCATGACCTGAGCCGAAACCAAGAGTCGGACACTTCACTGACTGAGCCTCCAGGTGCTCTAACCTTTGTCCATTTTTAAATTGGGTTATTAGTTTTAAGACTCTCGTGTATTTTGGATGACAGCCCCCTATCGGATGTGTCTTTGACAATTGGTTTCTCCCAGGCTGTGGCTTGTTTTCTCATCTCTTGACGGTGTCTTTCACAGAGAAGTTTTTAATTTTAACGAAGTCCAACTTATCAATTGTTGCTTCCACAGACTGTACTATTGGGATTGTATCCAAGAACTCGACCATTGAGTTGTCTTCCTCCCCTTCCCTCTGATGAAATCTTGGGGTTCAGAGCAAAAATGTTACGAGGAACAGAGGATCAGAAAACAGACCTAACTTCAGAAGAGGCCTCATGTTGGCTGCTGAGTGGTGTCAGGAAAACAAGAGAAGGGAAGGAAAGGAGAGGAGAGGGCATCCACAGGTGGGCAGTCTCAGGATGGCCAGGTCTTGCCTCCCAGACCCCATGCGTTACTTACAGACGCAGTAGAGCACATGGGTGCTTTTCTTTCCACGGTCAGTGTCCAAGTTTGCATTTCCAAGTATAGTTTACATTCTACAGATGTCAGTATTTTTTTTCTAGTCCTTTAGAAGATTTTCCGATGTAAAATCAGCCAGAAGAAGACTAACAGAATTGAATCTGGTGGATTTGAAAGGACAGTCAATCAGGGGAGATGGTGGAGGACAGAGTGTGTGATTTGTAGGACGACTGAGTCGTGATTGAGTGGAGTCTGACAGGAAAGCTCCCAGGACACAAAAGCTCTATCTCCTGGTCCCCCAAATGAGAGAAACAGAAGGTTGTGTGTCAGTCATGCTCCCTGGGGCAGCAGATCCCCAGCCCTGGAGTCTTCCAGACGCCAGAGTCAGGATTTCAAGGCAGTGACAGGTGCGTTGATTAATGACCAAAGATCTTCTATAGGTTTTTCCCAAGACTCAACTTAAAAAAAAAAGTTTGGTTTGGTTGTTTTGTCACAATAACTAAGAAATAATGAAATAATCGTGGCCAGAAATTTGGAGTTGACATGCTAACTAAAATGTAGTGGCAACCCAAACTCTAAGTTCAAGAGAAAATAATGCTTACCTGTTGCAGCACATCAAAGTTTAGCTTGTTTTTTTCTTGTTTCAGACCCTTTGTTGAAAACATCTGTTTTTTTTTTTTTAACGTTTATTTATTTTTGAGACAGAGACAGAGCATGAATGGGGGAGGGTCAGAGAGAGAGGGAGACACAGAATCGGAAGCAGGCTCCAGGCTCTGAGCCATCAGCCCAGAGCCCGACGCGGGGCTCGAACTCACGGACCGTGAGATCGTGACCTGAGCCGAAGTCGGACGCTCAACTGACTGAGCCACCCAGGCGCCCCAACATCTCTGTTTTTAAGAAGACTTTTGTGGTCTTTATTTATTATGTAGGAGGCTGGCATGTTCTCAGTCCTCAAAAGACAGTCTGTAACTTCAGAAGCTTCTCCTGTTGGCTTTGTGTTTTCTTGTTCACCAAGCACATTGTCCCCCTACGGTCACCTGTCCTTTGGGGCCATCAGGATGGTCCAGGCTACCGCGAGCTTCAGAGGGCACAAAGAGAAGACTAAATGCACACATATATGTAACAAAGGCTCAATTTTTTTCAATTTAAGTTTATTTTTATTTAGTTTGAGAGAGAGAATGCAATCAAGTGGGGGAGGGGCAGAGAGAGAGGGAGACAGAGGATCCCAAGCAGGTTCCGCACCCTCAGCACAGAGCCCGACTCGGGGCTCGAACTCACGAACTGTGAGACTGTGACCTGAGCTGAAATCAAGAGTCAATGCTTAACCAACTGAGCCACCCAGGCACCCCAAGGCTCTATTACTTTTAGCACTCCTACTATACTATACTTGTGCTAAGTGTATTTCGATATAAAGCAAGGGGACAGAGTTAAGAACAAATATTTATTAAGTATTTATTATGCGTGCTGGGATGGTGTCCAACCAGGTGGATTTAGGAAAACCTGCAGAGCCACCGCGGACCCTGGATAAGGTGACCTGTGTCCCGCCTGGGGCAGGGGGGCGGGCGGGGGATGGCAGCGAAGGCAAAATTCCCTGTGTCACTGTCCAAATGTCCTCTTCATGTAAAGACACCTGGCCTATTGAAGTAGGGCCCACCCTCGTGACTTAGTCACCTCTTCAAAGACGCTGTATCCAAATAGGGTCACACTCTAAGGTACTGGGGGTTAAGACTCAACATAAGAATTTTGGGGACACAACTTAGCCCCATAACAGATCTTACCTCACAGGAAACCTAAAAGTGAACTCTAGTGGCTCAAGGACTCAGGTGTGAAACTTGAAACACTGAACATTTTGGAGAAAATACCAGAGAATAGCTTTTTGACCTTGGTGGAAAAAGAAAATTTCTACACAAGATAAAAAAATCTGTTAACAATAAAGGATAAATTTATAACATTGACTACATTAATATTATGAATTATAATACAATATAATATATTCATAATATGTATATATTATGAATCAAAAGGTACCTCAAAGAATGTGAAAAGGCAACACAGGCCGGGAGGAGATGGGCAACTCGGTCCCGGTCAGAGTTTGCAGAATTGCCACGGATCCACGAAAAGGTGGCAAACAACCTGTCGGAAAAACAGACACGGCCCTTGGAGAGGCATTTCCTGGGGGAGCTCAGTGGTTATAATCGGCATGTGGAAGTCCCTGGCCAAATAGTAATTAAAATTAGAGACATTCAAACGAGCACAGTTAGGCACGTCCTGCCCTCCGCAGACTGGCGTGCGTCCCACAGGAAACATCCACAAAGGGGGCGAGGGGCACGTCCGCCCACGGCCGCCGTGAGTGTGCGTGTGCCGCACCCCGGAGACACCTCGACACGTCCAGGGACACCAGACACCACCAGGGATGAAGACGGGGCGCAGACCGGATGGCTCTCTGGGCGTGCCCCGAGGGGGACGCTGTGTCTAGTGGCCTTGCTCCCGTCCCCTGCTGGAAGGAGACCAATGTCCATCGGCATAAAATGGGTGAATTCTATTCTATGAAACGTAGTACTATTCAGCTGTAAGCTTCAACAGTGTTAAATCTCAAACGCAAAATGTGAGTGAAAAAAGTGACAGAGAAACTTATGCCTGTACTTTCATCTGCAGAAAGTCAAAACACAAGTGAAATGGGGCATTATGTATCCCAGGGACACACGCACGCCTGGTGCGATCAGGAGGAAAAGCGAGTTCGGGTTCAGGATGTTACTGATTCCCTGGTGCAGGCGAAGAAGGGGTGGGACCACGGGGGGGCGGTGTTCACATGTGACGCGTTCTTTCTTCAGCTGGGTGGTGGGTACGTGGATACTTATGACAGGATTTTAAGTGGCCTCTGCCTGTTATTATTCTAAGTATAAGTTTTAATAAAAGGTAAAATGGGATTCATAAAATAACTTGGAAACTATGAAGTTTAAATGCATCTAATATTTATAATGTGTATATTCATTGATGAACATTTTCTACTGTATCCAATTAAGTTACCTACTAGATGCAAAACAAAGAAGAAAAGAAAAAGAAACTGGGCCGGCCAAGTGGCTTGGTCCGCAGCAGGGACATAAACGTAGGGTTGGAACTCACTAGACTCTGAACTGAATGCCCAACGGGAGGAAGACGGGGCCTCGGCTGGGAGCCCTCACAACGGGGAAAGCGGTTCTGTGCCCAGCGCACCCTTCTCATCACTGCCTCCACGTCCACGGTCACCCGCACACGCGTCATTTTCCATTTCCCCGATCAGAGAAGAGCGCCTGTCCCCCTGAATAGACACACCTTCCACTGGGTCCCAGGCCCATCCTCACTGGGGCCAGGCTCCTCCCTGTGGCCTCCTTCACCTTCACTCAGCAGATTCAGCTTTCCTGCACCATCGTGTCCTCATTTGTGGGCCCCTGGGACCCCCAGTCTCTTCCTCAGTCCTCTCCTGCCAGCTCCCCATGGTTACCGTCACTGAGTGGTTCCTGGGTTGTGTTGTTTTGTTTTGGTTTTCTGATAACCGCTGAGTCCACTCAAGACTATTCACTACTTAAAAGAAAAGTAAGTACCAAAAGTCACAGAAAAAAAGCAGATTTTCTAGTGATACAGTTGATAGTAGCTAAAACTTAATTGCCCAGCACAACGATGAATTTCATTATGAGAAACACCTCATCTGGGGCGCCTGGGTGGCTCAGTCGGTTGAGCATCCGACTTGCGCTCAGGTCATGATTTCATGGTTCGTGGGTTCAAGCCCCGCGTCGGGGTCTGTGCTGACAGCTCGGAGCCTGGAGCCTGCTTCCGATTCTGTGTCTCCCTCTCTCTCTGCCTCTCCCCCACTCATGCTCTCTGTCTCTCAAAAATGAATAAACGTTAAAAAAAATTAAAAAAAAAAAAAAAGAAACACCTCATCACATCACATACAGAACACCAGGGAGGCAGGAACTATCATTGTCCTGTTACCTCTGTTTCCTGAAGTTCCTCATTGAGAGACCTGAGGACGGTGAGTCGGTCGTCCGCACCCTCAGCTGGGAAACGGCAAACGCAGGCTAAACCTGAGGCCGGAGGGCACGAGCTCTCCCGTGATGCCCTCCTCCTCTTCCGTAAATGGTTTTGATAACGATTCATAACCCAAACTAGGAAGATGAGGCCGACTGAAACGTGATACAGTTTTATGGAGACGCCCACAGAACACGCGGGGTGAGCCCTCCAGTATCCCGCCAACGCGAGGGGCGTTTCTCCCACATCCCGCCAGAGCCGGCTGGTGCTCCCTGCCACGTGCGTGTAACACGCTTGGTCTACGGCCTCGGCAGATACGAACCTGCTTCCGCCCAACTGCAAACGTTCTACGAGTTTCCAGTTCACT